GCAGCTCCCAAGCTACTATGTGCCACTCCCCAGAGATGAGCAGTGTGGAGGGGGAGAGGGCAGAAGCTCCCTTCCCCCCAGCGGAACCTGGGCAGACATGGTGAGGGAGCCCTGGCCTTGACCGGCAGCATGAGGTGCTCACTCGAAGGTCTCCCATTGCCTCCGCAGCTGCTCTACAGAGCTGGGGGCCGGGGCTGGGCTCGGGCTCATGTCTTGCCGGGTTTTCCGTAACAAATCCTCAAAGGGGTCTCTGGCCTGTAGAGGAGCCAAGGGCTGCAGCACTGGCTCCAGGCCTTGTGGGGGTCTGGGGGGCAGGAGTGGGGGGTCTCCAGGCCTCAGGGCCAGCCCCTGCTTGGCTTCAGTAGCTCTGGCACTGGAGCGGGCCAGGGGCAACGTTCGGATCCTCGAGGGGGCGACTGTTGCCGGGCCGAGTGGCTGCAGGGGACTGGTGTGGGCGCCCATGGGTATCTGGCCAAAGAGGTTGGGCATGGAGAGAGCAGAGAGGTTGGGCTGAGATCTGTGAGGGGCACAGAAGCCGGAACTGGAGAGAAGAAGGCTGGGTGCAAATGCCCGCCCCTGGGAAGCTGGAGGGGCCCCAAAAGGCCTGGCTGGGGTGGAGCCCAGGGGAAGGGTGGGCGGTGCCACTGGCACAGATGGGACAAAAGGGTTGAGTGGTGACTGGGAGAAAGGGGTGCGGGTCCCCGTGGGGGGGAAGCTGAACTGGGGGATGAGTGGGGTGGCCACATTTGGGGTGGCAGGCTGTGGTGGGCCCGTGTTGCCTGACCAAGCAGCATTAAGTGGATCCAGGAGAGCAAGCAGGGCATCGCTGCCCATGTTGGTGGCCCCTGGAGCTGAGCTGAGTGGCTGCAGCAATTCAGTGGGGCCTTGGGGGGTGACACTGGGCAGGACCCCTGGGAATAGGGCTGGGCTCAGGGCAGTGCGCTTTTCCCGGTCTGTCTGCAGCCGCTCTGAGAAGTCGCCGGCAGCCTGGAGCTTGGCGGGGCGGGCAGTGGGCGGTGGAGGCACAATGCCTAGCTCTGGGGTCTTCCTTCCCTGCGGCCGGGGAATAGTGATGTTGCCTGGAGTGGGAGTGGGAGTGGGAGCGGGAGCTTCGGCATTGCTGGAATTCAGGGTGTTTCCTGGTGCTGGGGTCTATGATGCAGGGCTTGGGAATTCCCGAGCAGGGCCGAAGGCTTCTCAGGGGAGGCAGCCGGGGGTTTGCTGGGGATGGCCATGTCGTCCTGGCCCAGGCTCCAGAGCTTGTTGTATGGGTGGGTGACCTTCAAGGCCATCGTCATCCCAAGGCTCCTCTCACTCCTGCCCAGGTCCAGCCTCTGTTGGGAGGGAAGGAGGAGGTGGTGACTGCAGGCTGTCCCAGACAGGAGAAAGCATGTCCCATTCCTACCCCTCCTCCATGCCTATGGGCACTGGGACTGCGCTCCCAGGAATGTGGCCAATTAGGTCCTGGGCCCTGGAGCAGTAGGGGTCACCCCAGCAGAGAACCCAGACACGTGGACCCTGAGCCCAGGCCTCCTACCGTGTGCTACAAAGGGATTAGAGAGGAAGTTGCTCTTGGTCTTTAGCCAGAGGTTGCCAAGAAGTTTTAGGAAAATGATTCTAGCTACAAGCTATCTACTGCTCCCGCCCTTTTTGCTTTTCAGAGTATGTGGCTCCTTTGGTCACACCCAAGAGGGCAAGAAAGGCTTTGGATCTGGTCAAAGGTACACTGGTGGGGGAGGACAGAGGCCTGGATTTGAGTCCTGGCTCTGCCACTTCCAGGCTACTGGACCTGGGCAAGTCACTCCTTGAACGGCCTCATGCCCAGCATGTGAGTTATCGGACACAGGGATCTTTGTGAATTCCACAGGGTGACAGTGACCGCCAACCCAGTCCAGAGAGGGGACCCGATGGATTGGAAGTCACAATGGGGAATTAGTGGTCACACAGGAATAATCCAGAACCCAGGAATTTTGATCTAAATGCTCTTCCAAAGAGCCCTGGTGGGGATGGAAATTGTTCCGGTTCCATCCAAGTCAGAGGCCTGGAGCACCAGCCCGTCTGATACATGAATGGAAATGGTCAGCGGATGTACCCCACGTCGGGGGTTCAGCTGCTGGCCCAGTGGGTAGGGTTTGTAGTCACATTGATCTGGAGCAGGGGCAGGCTGAGGACCTCGGGGAAAATCAGTTTCTCCCTTGGTCTCTTCACTGAGACTCGAGGGGGACCTGCCTCGTGTTTAGGAGGCACTCCAGCAGGCACCCTCCCTCACCCACACCATACCTGGTAGTCAAAGGTCCCTGGCTGCTCCTGCAGGTCTTTGGGGGCACGAAGGTCCTCCAGGCTCTTGGCCTGGCCCAGCGGCTGCAGTGGGGCCTCCACGTCCAGGCTGCTAAAGACCTCCTCCAGGAGGTCGACGCTGGCAGCCCTGTCAGGCGGAGCTGGGACAGGGCCCCGGGGCTCCTGCACAGGCTGCTCTGGACCCTCTGCCTCATCACCTTCCGCGCTGTCTGACTCCTTGAGTGTCCGATATGGCCGAGGCCTGACAGGAGACAAGAATGGGCTGGATTCTTCCACCCAGTGCGTCCATAGGAAGAGCAGGAGGTCTCAGCCCTGATTGCATCCAGGTCTCAGGGACCATGCCCAGGAGACTCCAGGACAGCAGAGTGTCCTGGGATTCCTGTACAGCCCAGAGCCTGGCTGGCACAGGGTGTAAGCTGTGCACTGTGGCACCTGGGACTGAATTTGGCTCTGCTGCTTGCTGCTCTGTGACCTCAGACAAGTCCCCTTTGACTCTTGCTTTGCATTGAGGGGCCACTGAAATCTTTGTATTTATGCTAGAGGAATGAGTCAGGACCGGAGGTGGAATCTGCAGCAGGCAGATGGTTCTCTTCCCACCCACCCCAATGAGGTGACCAACCAAGTGGTTGAGGACTTGGTTTCTGTGAGCGGGTCTGGGAAATCAAGCTGGGGAAAACTCTCCAGAAGCAGCTGTCCCAACTGCCCCAGGAAGGACCCCCCCCAGGGGAAATCCCCTGGGCCTTAACTTGTGAGACCTCTGTTCCAACCCTGGTCCTACCATCTCTTTCTGTAGGAACTTGGGCAAGTCACTTAACCTCTCTGAGCCTCAGCTGCTGCTCAGGGGGTGGTGATGGTGACTACATGAGCAAACACAGTGCCTGGCATGCAGAGGCTGGTGATAGCATCGACAACCCACCAGAGCACGCCTATTGCCGGGCTCAGCACTGACAGCTTTTTGTACATTCAGTTAAAACCCTGCAGGCAAGCCAGGGGTAGTTAACAATGATTTTCTCTTGCCTTCCCTACCCACAGAAAGCCACAGGGCACCACTAGTACACTGAGAGGCAGTGCCTGGGTAAACCCTGACTGCTAAAGGAGCCCTGGCCAGAGCAGCCCCCACTTCCTTGTGTCAGGCCAGGAATGCGCTTATGATGCTGGTAAAGTGGGGAGAGGGCGCCATCTGCTGGTCAAGAGCAGGCTGACATCAAAGGCCCACAAAAGCAGAACTTACACTCCCCTCACTTTATAGAGGAGGAACTGGAAGCTCAGAGAAGTTGAGCAACTCCTGACAGTCAGGAGAGTTCAACTCAAGGTCCCAACTGATGGCAGGGACTCATCAGACTGTAATATCTTGTTGAAGCAATGTAAGCAGCTCGTGAAGCAGGACTTAACCCTCGCCTTATGGATGAGGAAACCAAAGCTCAGGAATTAAGTAACTTACTCCATAGCACTTCCATAGAGGTGGAAGCCAAGTTTGACACTCCTTCCCTCATTCTGACCAAGTCATTTGACCATGGAATTCAAGATTCTTTACTCAAGTTTGAACAGAATGAAACAGAAAGGAAAGCCAGTGTGCTTCTTAAACTTCAGGAAACACTGTTCTCTTTAGCCATTTCAGTCAGGATGGGACAGCTATTTTTAAAACACACAGAGAAAGGCCTGAATGACCTCTGAGGTCCTGGACTAAGGAAGTGAGCACTAGCCATTATTTAAATAGTGAAGGCATTGGTGTTGGGAGTGTGGCTCAGGGATAGAGCACTAGCCTGTCATGTGCAAAGTTCTGAGTTCAGTCCCCAGTACCACACACACACACACAAACACACAAAAGGTAAGAAAAGAAAAGAAAAACATCAGTTAATTCAGAGAGCATGACAGGGCAGGGCCTTGGACCTGACTTGGTGGACTCATTGGGTCACCCAAGGCTCTCTTTTTCCTGCAAGGTGATTTGATATTGATACATGAATGAACATTTCTTATTCCATCTTTAGTCTCGTCTAATTTGGAACAGAAGATTGGACAACATGAACTCAGGTGGCCACTCTCTAAGTGGAGATATTGACCTGCTATTTAACAGGTGATTGGTGGCATAGACTCAGGCAGCCACTCTTTAAGTGAGGAGCTTGGGAGGCATTGATCTGCTGTGTCACAGGTGATCTGGTGTTAGGAAAGAGCCAGGATGCTTCTGCCCCATGAGAGCAGGGCAGGAGGCAGAGGAGTCTGGGGCTTATAAGGTCCCTGGAGTTCAGGAGAAGGTCTTGACACAGGAGACTGCTGCTGAGGTTAAGGAACTGAGACAGCAAAGAGGGCTCAGGGGTGAAGAGAGACAAGGACTGTATCTGAAAAATGACACATAGTTTGCTCCATGAAAGGCTCTGAGTCCTGTGGGTGCATGGCAAAGGGAGTTCCCTTCCTTTAAGGGCTCCAAGTAAAACACTTGCATGACCTTGGTAAATAAACACTGAAGCTGTCTCTTCTCAGTTCCAGCTCTGAAAAATCTGAGGGCAGAGGGATAAGGAATGGCAAAGAAAGGGGTGCTACAAAACATTACTCTTGGGGGCAGCCAGATCTTTGTTTCCTTTTTAAGAAAAAATTGAATCTTTTTCCTTTATAAAAATTGCTATTTGTAATTAGTGTGAGGCTTATGTTATAAATAATGCTGATAAAATTATGTCTAGAAAGTCAAGTAGATCAGAACTGGTATTAATATATACATTCCATATAATTAGCATTTTTTAAACTTAAAACTTGACTTCCCATCCCCATGGCTTTCTAAGATGTGCTGAGATAAGGGAGGATTTGGGGATCATTGTAGCCACCAATTCCATTAACAGTCAAATTCATTTTCCTCTATAACTTCACTCCACCATCATAGCCCTGTAGGGCTGGCGGAATGGGAGTCCCAAGAGGAGGTGGCATCCTCCCTGCAAGCTGGCCCTGGGACACCTGGCAGGCAGCAGCTCCAAACACCCCTCCCCACACACAAGAGCAAGCAGCACCAGCCCCCGCGTCACCCCATGCGCCCCAAGAGTCACCCAGCAGAGCCCGGGGAGCTGGAAGAAGGAAGAGAGACCATTCAAAGGGAGCGGAGAAGAAAAAGCTTTCAGTGAAGCCAGCACTCGGGGCGCCTTCCCGCTGGCATTCATCGTCAGAGGAGTCCTCGGAGAGGAAGACTGCATAATGTCGCAAAGGCTTTACCAAGCTGGGGCAGAGGGAGACAAGAGAGAAGAGAATAGGCAGTTAGGACACTGTCAGAACTCCCTGTGGGGTGGGAGGGAGAAGACCAGAGGGCATCAGGGTGAGGAGGTTGGGCCCCAACAGAAAAGAAACTGGGGATTGCCATGTGTGTAAGGAGCCTTGAACTCATGATACAGTCATGCGTGACCCTGTAATGCCGCTTCCACTCAGATAGCCCCAGTGTAGCAAGGAACTCAATTCAAGATGCTCAGCACCGCTCTGCTCAGCACGATGAAGCACAAAACACCGTAACTTTCAGCAAAGGGAATCTGCAGTGGCTGAACGTTAACCTTCCATTAAATGCAATGCTTATGAAGAAAAAAATGTAAATCAGGATGCAGAACTGCAGTGCTTACAGTGGGTCCTTTGTATCTGTAGTTCCACATCTGCGGATTCAACCAACTGTGGGTCAGATATATTTGGTAAAAAAATGTGTCTGTACTGAGTATGTACAGACTTTCTTTCCTTGCCATTCTAATATTCCCTAAACAACACAGCACAACTATTGCCACTGGATTGGATGTGATAAGCAATCTACAGATGTTTGAAAGCGTACAAACATGCATAGGTAGTGTGCCATACGAGGTAGTGAGCATCAGTGGATTTTGGCATCTGGAACCAATTCCCGGAGGATACTGAGGGACGATGGCACTGCACTCTCTCTCATCTACCTACAGAAAAATGCATAGAAAAAAGACTGGAAAAACTTGGGCCTAACAGCCACTAATAGCCAGGGGGATTATGGGTGATCTTCCCCCACCCCCTGCTTCTTTTTATTTTTCTACAATAAGCCTATCAACTTCAATAATCAGTGAAAAATAAAAAATAAGAAGTTGAAGAAAAAAGTGAGCCATGTGGATAAGCCCTCTGGAGAAAGCCCTTTTCTGATTAGTGGCTGCTCTCTGGAGTCTCCCTCGGATGCTTCTTCAGAGTCTTTTTCATCTGTGATGTGGAAATTAAATATTCATTGTTATAAAAAATACATCTCCCTTGTCAGCCACCTGTGAGCTCCACCTCTATAAACAAACACACACAGCCCAGAGATGCTCCATGCCTGGCTCCTATGAATTATATACTGGCCCAGGCCTGTGAGAGGCAATGGGCTTAGGAGAGGAGCTGGACCTGTGGATGCTGGTTCAAATCCTGGTGCCATGGCTGCTACTCTGCCCATGTGCTGGGGAGCAGGTGTGGTGGGCTGGGCCTGCTCTAAGGAGGTCTCAGAGGAGAGGGTGAAGTTTGAGGAAACATGGGGTGTTAGCTGGGGCTATCTCTTCTCCCTTGCACCAGCCAAGGCAACCTCTTTTGTGCTTTCCATGTTGGGTGGGATTCCTTCATGGAAGGCCAACACGTCCAAGGAGCATTGCTGCTGCTAATCCACATGTTGTCCAAAGGAACTTCAAGGGCCTTGGCACTTCCACCCCATGCCTTCATCTCCTCCTGCCCTCCCCCTACATGTCAGTTGGCTTACCATCTCTGGACCACACAGCCTTTGTCACTTGGCTTTCCCCATTCCTGCATGATGCACTGACTGTCTGAATACCTGGCCCAAATAACACCCTCAGGAAGCCCCCTGGGGCTGCACATCTTGGTGCTTCCTAGGCCCCATTTAATCTCCTGCAATTCTGTTTTTGGGTTGAGTTCAAGGGCAGGGGCATAGCTTGTTCTCTCTCCCCAGCTGGGGCCCACTGAGCACAATAGGAGTCTGTGGTCAAATGAAGTGGGGAAGACACCACTTTGCTCACACTCCTGGGGCCTTGCCATGACCCATAGCTCCTTTTGTCAACTGTGGCTGTGGTGTACGTGTCCCCTCTCTAGGTTTCCCATCTACTGTCTCGGACATGGACAATGTGATGATGCTGGGGGTGGTGTGGTGTCAGGTACATGGGGGCAGGCGAAGCCTTGGGAAAGTGTTCAGGACAACAAGCATAGCAGCCCCGAGCCGAGGCTCTGCACGGCTCATTTCCTCCTCCCACAATAGCTTTGCAAGAGGAATCGCCACACTAATTT